CCGGATCTAGGCAACCCACCCTTAGTGCGCTGACATATGCCGCAAGACTTAACAAATTTCTTCACGTCAAGGCCCATCTTGGGCCAGTAGAAGAATTGACGAAGCCGGAAATATGTACGATCCCGTCCCTGATGGCCTGCCGTAACACAGTCGTGGTACTCCTGCAGGAGCTGAAGCCTTACTGCACACTTGGGTACACACAAGCGATTGTTTGGTGCTGCACGGAGGTATAGGTACCTGGACTCTTCATCCCAATAGTACTGCTCGTGTAGATTATCAGAGGAATCGCCGCGCAGCCGCTGAATTATTGGGGAAAGCTGCTCGTCATTCTGATATGCTTCCGAAATCATCTCAGCAACCCTATCACTCAGTTTCAAAGCAAACTCAATCGTATTCAAATGGGGTGCTGGTAGGATGGGTGGGCAATCCTTTTCCTCAACTACATTGCCAATTGCTGACCCGCGCAGATCAGGGCGGCGGGATAACGCATCAGCCATATTTTCCTTGCCGGGTTTGTGATTAACTGTGAAGTCATAGTCTGCAAGAAATTCAACCCATCTAGCTTCGCGCTTAGTGAGATTGGCTTTTGTGCTCAAGTAGACTACGGCCATGCTGTCACTGAAAACTTCAAAATGCTGGAATAGATAAATTCTCCAGGATCGCAGTGCAAACACCACCGCCAGGGTTTCGCGTTCTGCAGCAGTGTAATTTCGCTCCGCTTGTGACAGCTTACGACTGGCATATGCCACAGGATGGCATCATAGCGGCTCAACGGAAAAACTGTGAAAGATTGGGTGTCGCTGAAGTCTTTCACGATAACCTTTACCGGACCGGTCCTCTGCAGTTCCGATGATGTCGATGAGCCATCAGCCAGGGTTACCTTCAGTGTTTCGTCCTTGCTCTCCGTAACAAGGCCGTTTCTTTGCACGAAAGCTTCCGATATGAAGTCGTGCGTTGATCCCGAGTCAATAAGCATAATTGCCCGGCGGCCGTTGATCCTGCCCTCAACACGGAGAAGGTCATGCTCCAAAGGAAGCTCCGTGCCCTGTACTGCGATATCAACGTTGCTGACATGGGATTCCTGTTCGGCAACATCTTCCGAATCAGCTTGCAGCGTCGGTTCTTCCAGCTCTAGTACGCTGTAACGGTTGCGTATGTCAACCGGGTAACCGTTGGGTGCTTTCTGCTTGGTCGCCAGCGAGCGCACGCCATTTTTCACTGGCGACCAGCGTTTGGGTGTTGATTGCTGGGACAATCCCGAGCTAGGTGACCTGGCTTCCGACAAGCGAAGCATCCACCCTGCCGACTCAGGTGACGCCTCTCCTCCGGTGTTAGCCTTTGGGGTCGTACGGGCTGACTTCGGTGCTGAATCGGGTTCGGCTGTTGGTCCGCCGTTTGCGCTGACCTGATCGCTTGGCTCAGATCAGTGGGGTGCTCTCGCAGCACCCGGGTCTTGACAGATGGGTGCAGTCCATTTACGAACAGCAGTCCTCGGGTCAGCTCGTTGATCTCAGGCACTTGTAGGCTTAGGCGCGAGAACTCGGTGACATAGCTCTCCAAGCTTGAGTGCTGCCTGACAGCGAAGAGATCCAGTCGCACCCGCTCTTGATGATGCAACGGACCGTACACCTTGGCGAGGGCTTCACGCAGCGCTGGCCACGTCGAGAACTCCACACCCGTATCCAACGATGCGATGAGCCATAGCTTGGCGTTGCCGCTCAGGAAGCCCGCTGCGTAATCCACCATCACCGATGAGTCGGTGATTCCCAGTGACCGAATCGCCAGCTCAATGGAGAAAGCCCACTCCTTGAACTGCGAGGGCTTGCCATCGAAGATCGGCGGCTCCTTAGCGTGCCGAGGCTTCCCGGACGAATGAGCGGGCGGCACAGGGAGCGGTTGTTGTCGGTTGCTCAGACGGGCGCTGACTTGGCGACTGGCTTCACGGACCTCGCTGGCCAACCTAAATAGCAACACAGAAAAACAAGGATCGCCACGACAATGGCGAGCTCCAAGAACACAATGTTAACCATCCTCTGCTACCAGTGTAACCGTTTGAAGGTATTCTTGGAAAAGACAATGCTTGCTCAAGGCAACACAACTGATATAGGGCACTTCGTGCCCTAAGGTGATAACGCGCGTGCTGACAGGATAGGGAAAGGTGCAAGATACAGAGCTAGAGGGCAGATAAGGTTAGCGATAACAGGGAACTGTTACACTCTGGGCCATTAAGCTCCGGCAAGTTGTCAACGTGCGATGGACCTTGTCCGTAGGTAGTTCTAATGTCATGGCTATTGAACTGATCTGGAATCCCAGAAATTCCAACACCTGTAAGAGCTGAGGTTCTGACTTGCTGAAGTTTACCTGGAAACCCAGGGCCAGCAACAGATGAATGAGATTGGCCGCATGCTGCAACGCCTCTTGAAATGATCTAGCCATGATGAGTATATCGTCCAGGTACACGACCAGATGTACACCCTGTAGTTGGAAACAGGTGATCACCGGTTAAAGGAGCTTGGTGAATTGCAGTGGAGCAGATACCAGGCCAAACATGACAGGTGCTAATCGGTACTACCGACACTGCCACAGCACCTAAAGGAAGCGACGGAGGGTTGGATGCACTGGCATTGACATGTATGCGTTGGTTAGGTCCACTTTCACCATAAAATCGTTCTTTATCAGTGCCTTCCCCATGGTGGCAATACCTTCCATTATAAAATGGTGGTATTGCACAAGCCGGTTCAATTCCCGCAAGTCGGCCACTGGGCGCATCATACCGTTCTTTTTCGGTACACACGGTGGGCGGAAAAAGCCAGGTGTGCCAGGGGCACCTTTTCCCGGGCATTGTTCTCTTGCAGCGCCTCCACTTCCTCTGTCACCACTGCTGTCAAATCTTAGGACATCTTCCTGGGGAGTGGCTTCCACCACTGGACTGGTTCTTGACTGAACTCCAGGCAAAACCTTCGCACATATTGCGTGACTTCTGAGTCTTCGGTCAGCTTACGCCAGCGTCTGGTCTGACCACCAAATAGGCCGCTCGGACGTCCCTGGACCTCCGAGGCGGCCAACCTCCAGTCCAAACCCCACTTGGGTAACTGGGTGCATCCACACTGCAGTTCTGGTGGTAGTGCCTGCCAGCACACCTCTAGAAGGAAACGTATTAGGCGCTGTTTGGCTTCGGAGGGCCGTGCTTGTTGTCGGGCTGTTGGTGTGACCGGGGTTGACACTGCGGCTTCTTGGAGTAATGTGGACGGTGAGGGACATGGCTTGCGGAGGTCCACCCATTCCTGCGGGCTCCTCTCCCTAAAAAAAACGGCACAGGGGAAGCCTCCGAAGGCTTGCGGCATTTGGTGTTGCTATTCCTCTGGTCTTGTTCGAAGCTTTGCGGCCGTCTGTCTTTTCCAGCCACATGGGCATGACTTGCAGGCAGCGTATGACGTACATCGGCCCAGGCCTTGTCCGGTTCTGCTCACTTAGTTTTCTGCTCGTTCTGGGCAGAGCCAAATATTGACTAACCAGGGTTAGCAAGATCTGCTGGGGCTAGGATAGAGAGCTTGCGGTGGATCTTAGATAAACAGATGGAACGTCGTTTTATGGTGAGTGCCTGTTTAGCATCTACTGGGAGCCGCAGTGCCGCCGTAGTGGCCTCCTGGATCATCTGCTGACCTTGCTCACAGGAATCAGGGTTTTGCTTGTACCTCAAGAATGAAGCACAACGGGATCCACCACATTCAACACCTTCGGCTGCGTAAGGTACTGAGGCCTATCCGGCCGAGCCTCTGAACGAGGTGGCTTCCTGTCAGCAGAATATAACATGCGGGCGACTTGCGCATCCTAAGCCAGGACTAATGCAGCGGGATTGTCCGGGCGAGGGTAGCGGCGGGAAAATGCCTGCCCGGATTCGCGTCGGAGTTCTGAGCGAAGACATGACTTGGGAAGCTTGGCAGTTTCGTACAAAACATATCGGGTAAACCCTTTCTGCTCCTCATCCCCGTCATCCACTGGCCGGTCAGTATTGGGACCCACACAGTCGGACTCCGGACTATGTGTGCTACCAGACTGAGAGTCCAAATCATCAGTTGCCACACCAGACACAAGCGGCAGGTGGCTTGATTGTGCCAGACCTGCTGGATCTTCAGGATCACACAGGTTTGAGGGAAGAGGTTGTAGCCTAGGTGGCTCTCTCGAGGTGGACCGAGCAGCAAGTGACTTCAGGGTGGGATTATTTACCAGGTCGCCATCAACGAACCCGCCACGCGTATGCTCAAGACCGGCTCTAGAAGCATGAGCGGGCAGAGTAGACCTCGCCAAAGAGGACTTAGCCAATTGTGAAGGAACTGGGATCAGGAGTGGATCAGTTTACGGGGTACATGTACCATCCACGATCCGCGAGTCATGCTCTTGCCTAGAGTTGGACTCCAAATTTCACACCCGCATCGACTATTGTGGAATTCCAAAGATGCCAAACGCCTTTCGAGTGGGCGCAAGGCTTGGCCCAGAGCCTGCTGGACTAGAGAAAAAACATCCTGAGGTGCGCATTCCATACCGAAACTCAGACAACCGAAAACTTCAACTAAGCACTTCCTCGAAGAAAAAAAAGGTGAAGAAGAAGATAGAGTTTCCGCGTTTGAGCTGATGGATTACGTGTCGGGCAGTTTTCTTTTACGAAATTTTTTCTCCCAATTTGTAGTATAACTGCTATGTCGAGCAAAGGAAAACCCGATTTCAGGTCGGTATACACTGTTATTTCGAAGCCCGAAGCTCCGATATGCAAATAGAATATTGGGATCCTAGAGAAAGTTTCCCACTTTCCAATGGTGTCATCACTTTTAAAACCGAAGTAACTATCGTAAGGAAATGTGGGTTGATAACACTATCTAACAGACCAATGACTTCCTGTAGAGCAATACTGCAGATGCAGTTTACATGTCTTGCTATACATCAAGAAGATGATGAAAATTGTGTAATGAGATAGATGTGGTTGCTGGTTTCTATAAACTAACCTTCACCCGATGATTGCTCAGATCAGCAATAAAGACCTTTCCATCGTTGCTGATTGTGATGCCATATGGATCAGTGAACTGCACCCTGCCATTACCCTTGCTACCAAATGATGTACAGCTATTGTGGATGGACCTATAGTGATTTTGTGTTGCAACCTGTAGATACACAGTAGAGATCATATTCATAACTTAACAATTCTGACCGGGTGAAAATCATACTAGCTTGTTGGCCAATCAGTATTCGTCATACAATCTGTTCACATAACGAGAGAAAAAATAATAATGAATGTTGAATATGTTATCCATGTGGTCTTCATAACATACCGTGCTATGTGCACGGCGTTTGATTACGTATTGTCTTAACAAGGAACACATATCAAGAAACGGTGTAGGAATTCACTGCACGGGAAAACAAAACACTTCAAAAAGCTGTGCGCTGTAAATCAGGCTGAGTAGTATTGGTCAATTCTTCAGCTTTTCACTTATCATTGTGATCAGGCTGAGCCCCATTCCCCCAGTGCTGTATTGATGAAGCCACAAAGGACAGAACCGGTGTGTGTGTTCGTTTTTGTGTTTGTGTCTGTGTTTGTGTTTGTGTGTGTGTGCGTGTGTGTGTGTGTGCGCACATGCGTGCGTGCGTGAGTGCGTGTGTGTGTGTGTGTGTGTGTGTGTGTGTGTGTGTGTGTGTGTGTGTGTGTGTGTGTGTGTGTGTGGTGCCACCTAGTTCGGTTGGTGGGTACACTTATGCCTGATTGTGTTGGGTGTGTTGCCAAAGGGCTCGGCTGCTTGAAGGTGTAATGTTGTACCTACCACCTTTGTTGGTTCCAGGGTTCATATAATTTCTATTTGAAGTATACATGAGTTTTGTATACTTTTGGGGATTTCAGGGTGATTTCCCCGAAGGTTTAGGGATTTCAGGGGCTGTCGGCCGTTGCGCGGTTCAATAGCCAATTGAGTCATTTTTCCAAGATTCCTTTCGGGTCCCTCTCCCCTCTCCCGGGGAGCCCACGTGACCAGTTTTGGCAGTGACAACAAGTACAAGTGTGTGTGTATGTGTGTATGTGTGTATGTATGTGTGTTCGTGTGAGGGGGGGGGGGGGGGGGGGCTGGTGGTGAAATTACGTCCTCCGGAAACATAAAATTCATGACTTTTTCACGTGACTTTTCTGTGAGCAACTCTGCTCGACGAGAGTGTATTATTGGAAGGGAAACACTCCAACACACTCAATGGACATGTATTCGAAAATCTGCAAGACCGATTGATGGGAATAGAGTCTCAGTCTAAGTTGCCATTAGTCGATTCATCACCGCTGGAACCAACCAAAGTAGCAGGTCGATCTATGTGTTCTCGCATGTCACAGTGCAGCTTGTTGTTGTTGTTGTTTCTGTATTTTACTTCACCAGATGAACAGGCAAGACTGCCTTCTCACCGGGGCTATTGGCCCACGGCTCTCACAATATGATGAAAATGTTTAAAATGTGTATGAAGAAGAAAGGAACGGAAAAGAAGATGAAATGAAAGGAAAGAAAACAGTAGTTATTAATTTTATGAAGGGGAGGGGGTAGGAAATGGGTATTATCATAGTTGATGAGAGAAGTTTGATATGAAATATTCTTGTTCTATAGACTATCTAGTACGGGCATTTCAAGAGAGTCATGCATGGGCAAGGCAGGATTTCGACTAGGATAGAGGACAAGAACATAATTGATGAGCATCTGTTCAGGCAGAATCTGTGAAGAAGACATAGTGGGCACAACATCGGAGAGCTAGTTGAGGAGGGAGATAAGATCATCGCCAGACAGCAATGCTCGAAACGTATGGCGTGCGTCGCAAGCGCGAATATCAGCAGTGAGAGAGTTCCATGTGGTACTGCCAACAAAGGCGATAGAGCTACGGCCTGAGGGACCAGGTAGGAACGGGACTCTGAGCAGCTGGCTGACCTGACCACGCATGACACAACTTCTGTCCACATCCGTGGGAATGAGGGAGTAGTAGGATGTGAACAGTGAGCTGGCTCTGTCATGAAGGCAGCGGAAGACGAAGAGAAGCAGACGTTGCACGTACAACTGGTGGAGCTGAGGCAATGATAGTCTGACAAACAGGGGAGCAGTGGGGGTCCTTCTGGGAAGTTGGAAGATGGCTCGTATGCCAGACTTAACAATGTGTGTCAGTCGATGTAGCAGCAGTTTGGATAGAGCGGGACAGAAACAGTTGGAGGCATAGCAGAGAACAGACTGGATCATACTCATGTACCAGGCCCGGCGGGCATTTCTCCGCGTCCCAGATCGTCGTCGCTGTTACTAGTACTTCAAAGTATATGGTTTACACATGTGCCTTCCCTAGCATCGCTCTTCGTAAGTAACGCTCTTTCTTTTTTCTTCTTCATTTTCTCTCTTTGATTTGCATTTTTGTTCTCGGTCCGTGGTTGGTTTCACCTTTTCTTCTTTTTTATTGGCTATTTTCATTATGTGACATGAAGTGCAAACAGTAAATAAATAAATAAAAATCTAGGGGGAGACCGCGGTGACGCTGGTACTCATCGCCTCTGCTCTCGAGGGTGCCCCGGAACGACGACGCGTACAGGAAAAGCCAAACATTTTGCATGTTATCTGCATTGTAGTAGTACCATCACTTCACAACTGCAACTTGTATGCGACCAAGGAGACATCGGAGTGGAGGCTGCTGAACAGAGCAAGATCTTCCACGTTGAATACGCGGTAGCAGGCGACGACTTCGATTTTGAACTTTTTAGCTTTGCTGTGTTGAGCGAAGTGAGTCACTTCTTTGCGTTATGGAGTTTTGACATCCTGCTGACCTGTTCGCACTTTGGCTGGTGTTTTCGGGGATCACGCAGATTCCAGAAAAGCTAGCTACTATCCCTGTCATACTATTCTTGCTCCTCAGTTCTTTTGCCCTTCTCTTTCTCATTGTGAACCAAAAACTGTAAACGACGAGCAGCTAGCCCAGTTCTTTTGTTGCATGGCAATGTGCCTGTTGGACAAAATGCAAAACATCGTCACTCCCATTGCTTTACAGCACAACATCCTTGCCTTGCGATGACTGTCGTCTTTCGATAATGTGAATCATGCCTTCCTATGGTTCCAATAATGTCATCTGTCTGTCTTTCATGCCGAGAGAGCCACACAGAGAGCAACAGAACAGGAGCGAAAATTAGTCAAAAAAAGTCGGAGAAAGTACCAACATGGTTGTCATTAAAATTCTGAAATTGGTCCACCTAGCGCAACCTTAGTCTCGTCTTGACGTTTCCTTCAGTCTCCTGGGTTTTTACCAATAACCAGTGCATGCCGAAGTAGGTGGTGTTATGTGTGTGCAGCAAAATATCGAGAAAAAAAGACCAACAAGTAGGAATTCATTGGTCAGAAAAAATACGTCAAATAGTTGTGGCGTGTAAACCACTTTGAGTAGTAGCGTACTCGAGCGATAAGTGCACTATTTTTTAATGTCCACCACAGACGGGGCACTATTCAAGAGAGGGTAATATGTTAAAAGCAAAGAAAGCAACGAAACAGAGCCTAAAGTTTACTGCAACCAATCAAAAGAAAGGGCAGCAAGAACTGTGATTTTGATTCTGAAACCACCAATTCAATGACATGGACAAAAGCAGTATCAAAGGATCACCAAACTTGCACATGAGCTTGCTTCCAAGCCGGCAGGGTGGGGAGGGTGGGGGAGGGGGGGGGGCATTATACAAGAGACGGGTTTCTTTTTTCACTGGCTCTTAGAGACTGGTGCAAATTCGATATAGGGCTCTAATCGCGAGAGCACGATAGTGGTCAATTCTTCAGCCTTGCAAGCTGTTGCATGCTGAAATCCCAGCACAACTTAGTACGGCTTCTGTTGTAGTATCGCTATCATCGTCTCTGGCAATGGGCGTCAAAGATTAAAGTTATGCAGACCTGCGACAACAAGGCACAATCTGACAGTGGTACTGAGACATTCGACGACCAGACACCTAGCTCCAACACATGTACCAAGCACCAACCAACAACTTTCCAACTTGGACGTCTCAGGTGTGCGAAGTTCCAAATGAATGGAGTTAAAGTGCAGCAAAGATATGCACAAGCTATGTTGCGGGGTAACAAAGAATGCCGAACATCACAGGATGATTAATGAGAATGGTAAGACAATTGGACGTACCGATCTTACTCCAACTTGAAGACGCAAAGTAACAGACCACCCAACCCGAAGGTATGTAATAATACATGAAGAGGGGAAGCCAAGCGAAGACGATTTCTTGTTTTTACAAAGATCACAGCTCACAGGCAAAGACAAAAAAATGCATAGTGGGAGCATAGTGTTGATGAGGCTTTTTTCCGTCAGCCGACCTGAGGTCTTGACGTCATGGGAATTGTGACAAACATGCAGAAAAGTTCCTACAACACTTCACGTTGGTGCAAATATAATGGGCAAGTTACTAACTTGAAGTTAGGGTTGGTTCGAGTATTGCCGGTGCGCAGCAGTGGGCCTCTTGCAACCCGCTCCCGGTGTTGTGTATCGGTAGAAAGACTTTTCATGGCTCTTTTTGTTGTGGTCCTTTCGTTTATTTTGGTTTGTTTTGCGTTCTGCTTTGACTTGTTTTGGTTGCATGTATAGTTTGTACATGATCCAAGTAACGGTTACGTCATTGTCATACGTTGTGTTTTGTTGCGCGCATGCTCGTATGCTGCCATAAATGTTAGTCTTTTTCTTCAGTTTTCAGTTTACCTCGTCGTGTCCGGTCTTCTTGTCTGTCCGTCTCCGTCTTGTCAAGAAATTATGTAGAACTCTCAGTTCAGTTTCGTTGTTGTGTGTGGCGGGTCGGATGGGCAGGGAGGCTGGGCCTCTGACGCCTGGACAACATGTGCGCGTGCACAAAATTTGGCGATCACGCCAGGATTGTCAGGGAGACGAGGAACTGGAAGGAACTCCGGTGCGAAGGAAAACGCATCGTGAACAAATCACCGAAACGACGTCGTCTGAGCTGAAGGCGCTGAGCGAGGAAACGTCTGCGAGGAGTGGCTGGCTCGTCGGAGCTGAATGCGCTGAGGGCAGATGAAATGGATGAACATCTGCGAGGAGTGGCTGGTCCGTCGGAGTTGAATGCGCTGAGGGCAGGGACGTCCCGCGAGGTGGCTGGTGAAGACGACGACTCGGA